AAGTAACCGTCTGAAGCCTACTTGCGATCTTGTGTAAGCATGGTTTTATGCCGCTTTCAGCAATAACACTGCGGGGGACCCCAGACATGGGCTCTATTCATTGCACCTATATTTTCCGAATCGAACCAGGTCTTCGGTGTGACGAGCGAACACTCTAACCACTAGGCTACCCAACTTTCCCCCTTGAGCACTTGAGCTTGGCGACGTTATAAACATGTTTGAGTATACACCCCGTAACACTGGAACCAGTTTCATTTGGAAAAGGATATTATGATTATGCTAACAATTAACAATACAAATAACCACTTTTGATTAGCATCGATTTTTAACAAATTTGTATTCATACAACATGTTATTAATAGAGCAACTATAAAAGAGCAAGTCGTATAGATGCTGTCTGTGGTATAAAGTCTTGGTATCACATATTTGTTTTATGTAGAAAGTGAACTTGTAGGTGCATGGAGATATTGTTGCATAAATAATATTGCTGCGCCATCTATAGGGACTACCAATGGTATGACTGACTGACTGAGTTTGGTTTTACGCCGCTTCTAGCAATATTCCAGCAACATCACGGCGGGGGACACCAGAAATGGGCTTCACACATTGTGCTCATGTGGGGATTCGAACCCGGGTCTTCGGCGTGACGAGCCAACGCTTTAACCATTAGGCTACCCCACCGCCCCACCAATAGTATGAGACAAACACAGCTTTTTTTTATTTGTCCAATTTACGTGAGAATGTAATTGTACAATGTACGCATACCCTGTTGGTCAAAGTTGCGCCATGTAAAGGTCAAAGAAACTCAACGCTCTTGGAAACATAATCCAAACTGCTGCAGCCTACGCTGTAACATTGCCATGTAACATTGGCAACCTCGTGAACCTGTCCCCAAAGCGAACTGACACAAACCCCTGATTTCCTGAACTCTTGGATTGATTTAACGTTGGGCAGACAGAGCAGACGGCCGTGGGCTGATCACTTGAATGTCATACAACAATACTCATCGCGATTGGAAATAGTAGTGTTAATGTCTCTCTTATCAATATCACAAACGTTCCTGCCAAGCCAAGACGGATCATAATTATCACATACGTGGACTACAACATTAAGTACCAAAACAAATACTTCTAAACAAGTCACAATACGTTTTCACAACACTCATATGTGTACGGTGTGTGAGAGGTATTGTCTTCTCCGCATCCATATTGTGTTCGGAGAATGTAGTCTGACGTTTCCTCAACATCCACGTGTGTAAGTAGAATCTGACCTTTCACTCCACGTACATGGGTACCAACGATATGACATTAATTATGTATACAGAATGAAGCTTGAAGTTTAATTGATATAAATATGCACCAACAATGTTTCCTTCCGTTTACTCAAAATCGATATATGTATTTAGAATAAGACGTTTCAGCAATGATGTGCGTACGCAACATTTCACCTGAGGTTTCAGCTCTGATATTGGTAATCTGAACTTAAATCTGAAGGAGAAGAAAACACAAAGTTTATTCTCGAGGATCACAAAAAATGGCGAGAACATGCAGATTTGATGAGGCATTTATAAAATAAACAATGCAGTTATATTAATACACCGATAGCCCTTCTTTGATATGTTGAGCTATTTTAGAACACATTGCACTGAGAAGATAATGTTTTTCCTAGTTGGATATTTACAGAAATAGTTTGGTAACCCGGTGTTTCTTAAGTAGGGACGACTGTGACATTTTAACACAAAGCGATAATCGTCGCTGTTGTTTGAACAAAGTATAAATATTGTTGATTTATTTCCACATGCATTCCGGTGTTGGTCGAACAAGTCAATGCGAACACATTTAACTGGTGATTTTAACCAGAACAGGTTTGGTACCTGTTGGTAAGTCCAGACGTATCTCTTAACATATCTTCAATAGTGTATAGCAAATTCAATTTGCACATAGGAGAGGATGTTGTTTGCTTGTTTCTTTAACACCGTAATCAGCAATATTCCAGCTATATGGCGACGGTCTGTCAGTAATCGAGTCTGGACCAGACAATCCAGTGATAAACATCATGAGCATCGAGCTATGCAGTTGTATGGAATCCTGGAAGGGACATTGTCGCGTTATCGCATTGTCGCGTCGTCGCGCTTTGGTTAATTTTGCCTCAATTTGCTTGTATTTGAGAGGGCGACAACGCGACAATGCGACAATGTCCCTTACAGGATTCCATACAATTGGGATACGATGACATGCATCTCTCAAGTCAGTGAGCCTGACCACACGATACCCTTAGTCGACTCTTACAACAAGCATGGGTTGCTGAAGACCAATTCTGATCCGGATGTTCGCGGGTTATAGGAAATGGAGTCTGAATGTGATACATTAGATAATTGAATGAATCTGACAAACGATCAGACATTAGGAACATTTTACTCTAAAATGAGATGATAATAATTTTAAAATCTTGGTTCACCTTATACAGTACAATCGGGCAGTAGAAAGTTTAACATTCAGCAGATATGAAGGAAACCCAATGTGCATGGGGTTTACCAGTAATATATTCTTATACCAGACACTTCCGAGCCATAGATTAGAACCAGTCTTTCAAGCTGATGAAATGGCTTTAAATGGCAATCAATATGAACTTCAAACATTCGGTCCTTGCATAACACAGCATATATTGCCCTTTATTGCTTGTCTGTTTTATGCCTTCACGAAAATCGACCATTATTCCTAAACCGTTTAACTTGGTACATAAATATTCTTTTACTACACAAGTCCATGTGTTCTTGGTTTCAAAGAACGTGATGTTTCCAAAGCCACATTAAGGACCACATTTTGTATTTGGACTATTCAGAACACGATAGTGAAATCAATGATTCTCGTCTCATGCAGTTCGTTCGCTGATTCACCAAGTGTAACCGTATCATCAACGTACAACAGGATAAGCTACCCGTGAAGGTCTGGGTTAGAATATTGATCTTCAGTAACCCATGCTTGTTGTAAGAGGCGACTAACGGGATCGGGTGGTCAGGCTCGCTGACTAAGTAAACACATGTCATCGTATACCAATTGCGTAGATCGGTGCTCATACTGTTGATCACTGGGTTGTCGATTATTTACAGACCGCCACCATATAGCTGGCATATTGCTGAGTGCGGCATAAAACTAAACTCACTCACTCACTCAATAGGATAAGCAGTTTCATATATACACCCAGTAGATCATGTCATATTGCAGTGTAGGTCGGTGAAAGACTGATTCTACTACACCGTGACTGCTAAGACTCATCAGAGGGCAGTGGTGGTGAGGCTGCTCTGTGGAGACGCTTTTTGGGTTCAAGGTTAATGTGGAATCATTTAACTATCCAGCATGTTTCATAACTTTCTGGAACACCTCTAAGGCCATATAATGAGACAAGTGCGTGCCTCTCACGTCTCCCGTTACATTAAGAGCAGCGGATGTGTAGTGATCATTCTTCACACTGGTTATCCAGCTTGACAACTGCCGCTATGTGACTGCTGTCATCACTCACTTTATTGTTCTGGTGTTTTACATATTGATAATTACAATTGAACTGCCATTGGGATTTGTACCTCCGTCTTATTGTTTACAGCCACTGGAGTTTATATGTCGTAAATTATATTGATTTGCAAACTTTTTAATTGTACTTTTGGTTTAACACTTTTGCGCAGAGCTTTCTGGGTTAACTTACTGCATCGATTAGGACATCGAAAACTGGCTTGGGTCTCCTCTGTCAGATGAGTATAATCAGACAATTTCGGCAGACGCTTACATCTAATTGCCGTAAGAAGCTTACCTAAGCAGCTAACAATAGAAATGCCTCTGTAATTTTCCGGATCGGCTTGGCTGTCCTTGTTTTTAAAGATAGCTCTCATATATGATGCATTTATTTCAAGGCGGTAGTTTTAGTTTTATGTCTCGGGCACGAGACTTTTGCATGAAGCGTGTTGACGAGGAGCTCTACAGTAAGCCCACTAATCACTTAGCTGTGGTTCAGAGAATATAGGGTTATCAAACTACTAGTATATCGCTGTAGCCTGTACATTGTCTGGGAAATGAAATCATTGACTGAATATCTGTCCAGCGAACCACGCTGCTTGGGCATGGTGACCGACAACCAGCAGGGTCACCCATTTTGACCACCCAATATTCATTTAACTGCGACTCGTGACAGACATGGGATACTTATTAGGCTGTCAATCATAATGGGAGACGACATGACCTTGAGCGCAGAGATCTATTGTCAGTCAATGACTTGGAAGTAACAACAGGAATACTCGATTCAGAGGGTTGAAGCGTCCGCCCGGAGAGCGGAAGGTCGCGGGTTCGATCCCCGACCGCGTCATACCAAAAGACGTTAAAATATGGTACTTGTTGGTCCCTGACTGGCGCTCGGCATTAATGGGTACAACAAGGACTGGTCGGCTCGGAGTCAGTATAATGTGTCTCAGTGGGGTATTCATGCTTCACTGCGGCATGGTATCTCAGTGGGCTAGCACTATAAAACCAGCTTAAGTCTGGGCTAGTACAAGCAGCCGCACATACACATACACACGCATGCACGTCGTCATATGAGCGAAATATTCTCAAGCACGACGTTAAACCCCATTTCACCTCACCTCACCTCAGAGGGTTGATTTAAAGTCGGAAAACGAGGCGTGAACAAATCTTTAAAGTCAAGTGAATACATATACGACGGTGTTGAATACAAAATTCCTCTTTGTAGCGTCAAATATACACATGCAAGTCTGATGACATTGAACGCATGCACGCAACTCCTCACAATTCCAGAAGGCAGTACATTCTCTTACCCACAACACGTAATTAGCAAGGAAATTAGATTAGACTCGGTCCCGTAGCTGGAGCGTTCTGCCATCTTCCAGTTCTACAACCACCAACCTGAGAAACACAGCTAGGCGAAACAATTGGCGAACAATTACCTAGACGTGATTAAATATTCATCCGTAAGACGTGATAGAACGATAAACGCTGGAGTCGTGTTGACAGTGGAAGACGATGGCCATGCTGCCGCCTCCGACCCCGAACAATTACTACTGCATTACTACAACTGTGAGTACGTTCATGCCAGTAGGAAGAGCTTTTTAATATTTAATGTGACAGCGACCGGTGTTTTGTGATGATACTGAGGAGCTGGCTCCATCCCGTATGATAACCGGTTGCTAGCAGACACAGTGTGACATCATCGCATCCGAAGTAATCTGCCGCCCGGCCCGCTCCCCGTCCGACTGTCAGGCTGCCACGGAGACGGAGTTGCACGTACCTGCGGCAGGAGTATGAATCGGCTGTGTGTCCTCACTACGACCATCTTTCGTTCATTGATGGCCGCAGCGCTCACGTGCTACCTGGGGCAGTTTGTGAATGAACCAACGGTGATATGAGTGAATGGAGTTGGCTGCTGTGTCACAGTTGGGGTAATGGACGGGATGGCTACGGCCTGTGGGCCAGGTGAGAGTGACAGGGGGTTAGAGAATGACGCGGTGATCGAGGACACCGGGGGCGGGCAACAGACTACGGGGACTAACACAAAACGAAGGAAAGGAAAATCGAAGGAATCAGAAGTCGATTTGATTGATAACACTTCGGCAAACCAAACTTCTAAAAATGAACAGTATTCTGTAAACCTCCCAGGCGTGCTCCCCGGCAGTACACTGAGAAATGTTGTTTACTATCAAAATCGATTCATTGTGTTAGATACAATACCAGCCAAATCTGGCGCGCAGACAACGAACGGAGATGCTACAACAGATGTCCACAAGAGTGTGCTACATACCGGATGCGGCACACTGCGCATGTCTGAGAGAAATGCTAGTGGATCAGGCGAGAAATCGAATGAAAGAACGGCGCGTGCTGCAGGTGGAGCAGACGACAGTTTGTTGGTGCGCGGGAAAAGAGGTAAAATGGAAATGGACGCTTCATCTGTTACTATGGATGCACGTGCAATTGAAATTGTTGTAAGTGATGAATCTGACTCTCAAAGGATGCATTCTTCGACCAGGCACCCTCTATGGAAGCGTATTACAAGTGTTATGCGAGACAACCGGATGAAGGGCAGACGTGACTGTGATGTGGTGTTGAGGGACCATCCGGAGGAGTACATTGTACTTAAGCGAGTTTTAAACATTGTGTTTGTTACAATCGGAGTAGCCCTGCTGCTGTCTGTCTTTATCGTGATCATCTACACATCAATAGGTGAGATCACTATTTTTGTCTTAGATATTATCGTTTTATAAAAAAGAGAATCAATTATGGACCGGAGTTTATTATGGGGTGGGGAGAGGGGTAATGTCGGGTCAGAGCGTTTAATGCACACATATGCAGAAGATAATGCCTCACCCCACCCCTTATGCTTGCTGTAATCGGATGGTCCCGCCGCTGTTCTCTTTTCATTACCATCCTTGAAATGACAAAATGTAAAGGCACTTTTTAATTTTTATTTAAAAGTGTCCATATCCCCATGAATACCCGAATATGTGTATTGGTTTAATTACCCTACTAATTGGGCTGTCGAATTATGGGGTGGGGATGTTGACCAGTATCCCCCCTGACCCATCCACCTCTGTAATAAATGACCATTCCCTTAGATTGACTCTCTGTCACCAGTTTGGTACTTGTGTATGTTAAAATCATTTCTCATGTCTTTATGTACATAGTATGTATGCTATGCGAAGATATGCTGTGTTGCATTAATTCTATGCGGCGCTTTCGAGAACAAAGAAATGTTTTCGGGTGAAATGTTAGTACTCCCAGGAGAGACTATCTATGCATTCTAAATCTGAGATTATGGTCGTGCCAGTGATGGATGGTTATGGACGTGGGTTCTTTGGTTGCGTTCCTATCATAGTTGTTCTTGAACGTTGCAGCCAGACTGACAGTGAAACTGTTTCACAGTCGTCCGTATGAAGCTGTCACATACATGTGCACCTTGGTATATAGTCCACAGTGTGAGTGTGTGTGTGTGCAGCATGAGGTAGATGTGTAGATGTAACTACTGGATGTGTTAAAACATGGACGTGGTTTTTAAATGTGGAAAAAGGACATCGTCGCAAATTGCCAGTGAATGTTTTGTTCAATCGATATTTTCCCAGAGATGTCGATCTGCGGCAGTAGTCGCTCTTTATCAAGGTTTGGGGTTGGAAATTGAGTTTTAGCAAGAACGATTGAATTTCAAGGATCTCATGTGTGCAGTTTACTGCGTATTTGACATTGATTGTCAGTTAAGCAGTAGTTGCTTGTTCAAGTGGCCGGCGCATTTAGCACATTGAGTTTAGTTTGTATCCTGTTTACTAATACACAGATACTATCGGAGCTTAGGAAAGACATTAATCTCAGCTTTGTTCCGTGTTCTGTAGCAATGATTACTTGCTCAAGTCCCAATAGTTGACCAGTGGTTGACGGCAGAGTCGGCTTACTGCCTAGTTGTCTGAAGTAGTACATGTCAAGCACAAATGGAGACGCTGGACCCTGTAGTCTACAGAGCTCTTGATATATGTGTCTAGCTCAGATATATAGTGGACCTGGCAGTCTACCGAGTCTTGGGTGTACATTTCTAGCACAGATAGACACAGTACCTGGTAAGTGTCTAGCTCAGATACACACTGGGCCTTGTAGTCTACTGAGTCCTGGATGTACGTGTCTAGCACAGATACACACTGGACCTGGCAGTCTACTGGGTCCCGGATGTACGTGTCTAGCACAGATACACACTGGGCCTTGTAGTCTACTGAGTCCTGGATGTACGTGTCTAGCTCAGATACACACTGACCTGGCAGTCTACTGGGTCCCGGATGTACGTGTCTAGCTCAGATACACACTGGGCCTTGTAGTCTACTGAGTCCTGGATGTACGTGTCTAGCACAGATACACACTGGACCTGGCAGTCTACTGGGTCCCGGATGTACATGTCTAGCACAGATACACACTGGACCTGGCAGTCTACCGAGTCTTGGATGTACATGTCGAGCACGACCAGTGAAGGTCCGGGTTAGAATATTGAATTTCAGTAACCCGTGCTTGTCGTAAGAGGCGACTAACTGGATCGGGTGGTCAGGCTCGCTGACTTGGTTGACCACATGTCATCGTATCCCAATTACGTAGAACGATGCTCATGATATTGATCACTGGATTGTCTGGTCCAGATTCGTTGATTTACAGACCACCGCCATATAGATGGAATAAGCAACCAACCGTCTAAAAAGTTGTAGGACTCGTACAGCCGTGAATCTGAAGACTACCGTGTGAAGTAATTAAATCCTTGTACGTACATCAGACACTTGGGAATGCCAGACGAGCTAGACACGTACATCCAGAGCTCTACCGACTACAAGATCCGATGTCTAGCTGTGCTCGACACGTATACCCAAGACTTGGTAGACTACAAGGTCCAGTGTCTATCTGTGCTCGACATGTGAGTGAGTGAGTTTAGTTTTACGCCGCACTCAGCAATGTTCCAGCTATATGGCGACGGTCTGTAAATAATCCAGTCTGGACCAGACAATCCAGTGATCAACAGCATGAGCATCGATCTGTGAAATTGGGAACCGATGACATGTGTCAACTAAGTCAGCGAGCCTGACCACCTGATACCGTTAGTCGCCTCTTACGACAAGCATGGGTTACTGAAGGTTCATTCTAACCCGGACCTTCACGGGTGGTAGTCGTCTGTAATCTGTAGTATCAAGCACAAATAGATGATTGGCAGTCTTCACAGTCTCGGCTTAACATGTCCTGCACATAGTTCAGGCGTGATGTACTGGGTATGCCTATTATTTGGCTGTAGGCCTCCTTCCCTAACATATTGTGTACATGCCCTTTACTGACGTTGGGCTGAGAGTGTTCAGTACATGTCAGTGTTAGCCCTTAACTCAAAAAAGCTGCAGGCCCTGAGTACCCACAACCATAATAAGTTGTGGGTCCTGATTCGGAACGTGTAGGCCCTATATTTTGATATGGAAATAATACTCTTAGTTACTGGAGATGAAAAACCTGTTTGCCATGAGAACCTGCAGAACACAAAAGCTGTGGGTCCGAGTGGTTTTCAGTCGGCTTCGGGCCTAAGGACCGACGTTAATTTCGAACGCTGGAACGTGTGCACTGCTAACGTCATTAGTTATAATACGTACTGGAACTTTGACTGTACAGTTGTCTGTATTGCTATATTAATCAGTCATCTTGTACTATTTTATACACGGAATCTTTTTTACATTGAATCGTGTTTAAGTGGGGTTGGATGTGCGAGTAAAAACCATTGGAGAGTGACGAGTATATTCATTACGTATAACGCATTCCTTCTTTTACGGTTATACAACATTTTCTCTTTTGAAATATATTGGAAACATGAGTCAGTATTTTTCCTGCATTTAAATATTGTGAGTCGGCCATGCGTGATTCACGTGGAATACGTAAACTGCAGCTGTTGCACGTGCGCCAAGTTCTCCAGTTAGTTGATATATACATCGCGCAGTACACGCCGCTTTGTGTCGGGGGTCACTTAATGAGTGTTTTATCATGCACTATTTACACACCTACTGACGGGGAGTATGGAAATATATGTTCACCTGGTTACTTTGGACTGTTTTCGTTATCTGAGTGCTCTAAATGTAAATATCGTTTAACATGAGGTAACACAACGTTATATATATATGTATTATGGTTTGAAGTTCTTACGATTGTACACATATTTGAAAATATGTAATAGTATGTTTTACACCATACTCTCTTTTGTCGCCGATGCAGAGGCCACAAAAAACAAGTCACCCAGTCATACGATGCGTCATAGTTAGAATACTTTTCTTGTCGGAGTATTAAAACTAGTTTCGTATATTTCAGCTGTTGATTAGTTAACATCGTGGTGACTGATTGACGACCATATCATGTAGATATAGCGTGTTTGAACTATAGAATGACTTCACAGATGACTTTGAGGGTGACCCAGGAGGGCTTCGTTGACTTGTTACTCTTGAGGAGCTCTGTCGACTTTCCGATTCAGGAAGGTCCCCGTAGATTGGTTTCTCTTGAATGGTTGCGTCGACTTTCTGAATGAGGAAGGCCTTCGGTGACTGGTTACTCTTGAAGGATTCCGTCGACTTTCTGATTCAGGAACGGATCCGTAGGCTCGTTACTTTTGAAGGGGCCGTCGACTTTCTGATTCAGTAAGGGATCCGTAGACTTGTTACCCCTGAAGGATTCCGCCGACTTTCTGATTGAGGAAGGGATCCGTACATTCGTTACTCTTAAGAAATACGCACATAGAAGACGTATTAATTTTTACTCCACCCCCAACTATGGACGTTGTCGCCTCTCAAGCTTTGGCAGGTGGACTTCATAACATGAATTCGTTTTTGAGTTTAAAGTCCTGGAAAAATGATAAACTGAGGTTAATGTTCAATACCATAATTGTAGGCCACTTGTTATTAGATCCTATGTGGAGAACGATAAACTACGACAAATACGTCTTTTCGATTCCTTGAGAATCAAACTAGAATCGACGAAGAGATTCTCTTCTGAGCCAATTATAGTTTAGCACACCGCCGTCTGTTACCCATACAGACGACGTATCTCAGACAAGCGGTTTCTGCTCCATCCTGGTGGCACTCCGGGGAAGACTATCTCCGGTACCACACCTGAGTCGCTGGAGTCGACTAATTAAGCCCAGACAGTTTCAGCGAGTGATTGCCCGTGCACCCCTAAAGGTCGTTAACATTGCACAGCGACCAATGATTTACCTGTTCAAAAACTATTTACCTGCCTTAGACTATTTACAGACCACCGTTTTTACACATAGATGCACTCCTCACTACTAGGTCTGAAAATGTGGTTTCATCTACATTGCCGTCAGGATTACATAGTCGTGCTCGTTTGGAGATGTAGACAATAGATGCTTGCTTTCTAACGAGAATCGCCAACGATCACACTCAGATTGCGGGTTTGACGTTGGCGTTGCCAGTAGAAACGTTTCTGAAGTTACATCGTCAACATAATGAGAAGTGGTGGGAAATATTAAGAAACCAACCGGTTCTGTTCCTCGTAGAATGACAATTAGTTTGGCATAAGTGTCGTATAGCGAAGGAGATTACGCTTTAGAAGATATTCACCGTCACGTGACTTTATGTGTAAGCCATTAAATATGAACTTTACGAGCTCATTACCAATGTAAAGATCACTTTGAGTCTGTTACCGTCAACTGCTGCTTG